AAGTGGATTAATATCATTATACTGATACTACTATTATAAGATTCTCTTTATCCACTATCAAAAACAAGATTACCTCTAGAAATATATTTTGAAGATTAGGCATTCATGCATATAAGTAAATTTTCTCGAGCTTACTAAAGAACTAATTGGTTGAGCTGATTTTTTTTTTCATGTCTGGTTATGATTGGGTCGAACTATTTTGATTTTGGACTAGCTAATGGTTTGTAAAGATATTGGTTCAAAGTGTGTAGGATGATGTAATTGAAAGTGGAAAGATAAGGCTGACATGTATTGCAATGTGAAATAGATTAAATGAGTTAAACAATCTGTGTAAGCAAGCTAGTGTGGTCACGAGAAAAATGGTCGCGGTGTTAGTTAGAGACGTGTTTAAAAGCAAATGAGGATGTGATGAAAGAGTCGCGAGCAAGAAAGTTGCCACAAATATTGATGCAAGTTGAGCTTCTAGTGTGAAACTGAGGCAATGAAGATAATAATGATTACAATACATGATTTAATTTGATGAATGGAATAATAAGGCAGTTGGAAGTATACAAATGTATTAGTTAACGTGCAAGATTGCATGGGTTGGACGTACACTACATGAAACTTTGTTAATTTTGACCAATATTTTTCATCAAAAAATGACTTTTTGAACAAAATTTACTCCACAAAAAAATCCTTGGTTGGAGAAACATTATGACAATTGAAAAGGCCTTTGAAAAAAATTGCTGATTGATTTCAGGCTAAAAATCTATTGGAATTTTCTCAAATCTACCGACATGTTTAGCTGTGGGAGTGCCGCTAGTTCATCGAAGGATGAAAAAAAAATGTACACAATTTTTGATAAAAATTTTGTTCGAAAATCTGCCAAAAATTTTGTGAAAAAGTTTTCTGAAAAACAATCATTCGCAATGATTTATGCATCAATTAAAGTGACAAAATTTTCGTCAGACTTTTAACAAAAATCTGTACAAAGAAGAAAAAAATAAAAGGTGAATTTTATACAGTATTATTTTTATACATGGTATTTGTAATAAATAAATAAAAAATGTATTTGATGAAAATATGTAATTGATTACTATTGGGTCACAATAGACATAATAATAAGAACCAATATATATATATATATATATATATGTATATATAATATACAACTATAAAAGAACTTTTTGTATAAATAGTTTATTTAATTGTTCCAAAACCAATATAAAGCACATAATTATTCAATAAACCTTCTAGCACATAACATAATAAATTGATACAAAGAGTAACTAATATACCTCTATCTCCCCCACTTCCTCCTCCAGCTCTTTTACCAATGGCTCTTTTTCCCTTTGTCTGTCACTGTGTATATTTTCCATCCTTATTTTATTGGAGACATTTGAGCTTCGATATGAGTAGTCACCCAAGTCTTAATAATCTCAACAAACGTAGCAACACACCTTCTAGTGAATTTGTCGATCGAATTAGTGGCATGTCTACAAAAGAGTGATGTTCATCTTACACCTGACCCTACAAACTTAAGCCGTATATTATTTTTCTTTTTGCCTCCAACGACTTCTCAAATATCAAACTTTGACCGCTCAAAATGATCACTCAAAGTTCGTGAACATATTGAACTTTGACCTGCACTGCCTTCAATTTCATGTAGTTTTTCTACAAAATATTATGAGAAAATTAAATCATAATATATTTTCAAATAGATTATAATTTATAAATAAACATTTACATGCGTAAACTCTTTGTAACCAAATACTAATTTATTGGTGGTCTCAGTGTTGATGTGCTCTACTATATAATTTTACAAATATCTGCTCTCTTTTAGCCCTTGTTTCTATAAGCATATTTATAGTTAGTAAATATTTCTTGATAAAGTTTTCTTATGTTGTCTATGATTTACTAGTTTTCTTCTATACACAGTGTGATTAATTGAGCATCTAGAATGTAGAAAGTTGCCTTTGGCCCCATAGTTAGATATCCAATTTTGTTTTGTTTGCTCCATTTTGCGAACATAGTTAAGGAAGGCCCATACCCAATATAGCTTAGCCCATATTTTCTCTCCAATTCAAAGAGTCCTCTGCCTAGACGTGTTAATGTTTATGAACAGGTCACTTAAGTAAGCAATGCTTCTTATCTCAAATTTTTTTCTAATATTTTTACTTTGCTCCAATAGTCACTAATTTTTTTTTTTGTAATGAAAAATATTAATGAGAATCATTAGAAATAGAGCATCATGCTATATATAAAGACTTTAGTTTGTACCACAAACTTTCTAAATCACATTTTGTGCATCTTTATTGGTTCTTTTTTAGGAAAAATATGTAAGACTTCTTATTATGTATTTTATTGTGTTGCTTGTATGGATGCATTGAATCTATAAAAGAAATTTTAGTTAGCATTGCCTACTCAAAAAATAAAAGTAATGCAAATGATTTGACATATCTTCATCAGACTCAATATAAATGTACGAAATGGATGTCCTAGTGCCACTTTTCTAAGTAGGAGTGGACGACCAACTTGATATGTTGGTGACGTTGGTGTTGGACGACGATAGCTGGGCTCTATAACTATATAAGGTTGCAATGGTAAAATGGAGTGGTATCGGCATGTCTTAAGGAATAATAGGCGGTAGAGTGGTATGGGGTGATGAGATTGTTATTAAATATGCTTGATTTTTGTGTTTTGCTTAGGAAATCAAAATTTTTATCTGAAAGATAGATATGAGCTTGAGATACCACATACACGAAATACTCTACACCTTTCAAGAATTCATCAATTCTCTTTTTTTTTTTGCCTAAATGCAACCTATTGCCTAAATGCAACCTATTATATGTTTGCCTAAATGCAACCTATTATATGTCAAAGATCTTTCATTACGAATATTCATGCGCTTTAAGAGGATAAACAAAATTCCATAAGATTTTGACACATGCTTAACTTAAGCATAATTGAATACAATAACATATATTAATAAACTAACGTGAAACTCTAAGCAAAATCAAAATTAAAATAATTTGATAAACTATTGTTTTTTATGTACTCAATTTGACCATGAAATAAAACTACACATAAGGTTTATTCATGCTAAGATTACTAGGTCTAATTCTTATCATGCCGTCGATATTTTTATCCAAAAATCTATATTTTGATTGATGTAATCCTACTAGTCTCAAATAAATTTAGTCCTAAATTCATCTAACACCGAAGTGATTAGGAAAAAAAATTTGGATTCTTAAATCTAAGCTAAAGAATTTTACATCTAACTACAAATAACAAAATATTGTAAAATAAATAGATTTCAAACAAATTTCAAAATGATTGGAACTACAAATTAAAAAAACTTTAAAGAGCCTCAAAAAAATTTTAATTTTTACTTGACAAAATCATAAATAAAAAAAGGATTGGAGAATCTAAAAGAGGAGTTTTACCTTTGATTCTATAGAGAAATGGTTGAAATTGAAGAAATTAGACCATTTAGAAGCAATTTGGAGGAACTGGACAAGCATTTCCCGTGTCTTATTGAGAGGAAACGAAAGTAAGAAGAATGGGAAATGGGGAGGCGCCTGTCGTCTGTTTGATATAAAATAGCTTTTGACGCAATTTTCAGTGAAAAATCTGTCGGAAATTGTTCCGAAGGAAAATTCCTTGGAGACAAATAAATCATTGACCAACGATTTTTTTCCTTAATTTTTCGTCAAAAAAATTTGTGACGGGATATCTGTTGGAAAATCAATCAGTAATTTCAATGATCTATTCTGTCAGTAATTCTTCCGGTTATATAGCTAACTTTGAGTAATGATAATGTCAAACAATTGAAGGTAGTTGTAGTATTATTGCTAGAGCCAAAGAGGTGGGTGGTAAGTACATGTGCATAAAAGTGATGCACATGGGTTGTCTATGGTAGAGTAATTGGTGCAAAAGTAGGATCACAAGCAAAGGTGGTACAGGATTATTGCGGGTGCAATGAATGATGTCACAAAGAAAAGATAGGTGGCTATGTATGGTTGGAAACAAATAGAATGCGAAGAGGCAAGTTGTGGTGTTGATGTGTGGTGACTCATGCAAAAGAGGGGTTTGGCAAGCGCAGGTGCCAAGTTGGAGGTTTGACGATAAATGGAGATGTGCAAGCAAGCGCTTACATACTCAGCACATAGTAGGGTTGTAGAGGTGATTTTAGCGTGAAATTCTTTTTTTAGATTGGATTTATGATAATTTTGAAATTTAAGAAGCTAATATGGAAGGAAATAAAATGTCATTATTATACAAAACAAACTTGTGTAAAACATGTTTTAAATTTAATTGACATGTTTGAGGCCTAATATTATGTCAATAATTAATTAAAATACAAGTGAAAACAAGCCCAATTTGCTCATGATCAAATATCTGCATCGCAATCATTTTCCTTGATTTTGGCTCTGTTGATGCCTTTTATTTTTCTACTTTAAAGCATTTGCTAAACTGAGGCTTGAATATCTAGACATTTTACTGCCATGCTTTGGGTTCTTCTGCCGCTCCACTATACTTATCTAGTTCTATTATTTTGCAAGAGTTAATACTCGTGTATGTGGGCATATTGCAACATGGTGATTAACCGAGTGATCAACCGAATGAATTTGTAAAATTACTTAGATCAGTAACAACATGAAGGGGCACAAAAACTAAACTAAGTTAAGCATGCTCTTCCAAAAGATACAAGTTAAATAAATATTACCAGTTGACTCTAGTTCAACAATCATCCATGGCTCATCCATCGATCTTCATTGTCTGTCTTTAATTATCTTATGACTTTGTTTGATACCTTCATTTTGATTTGACATCAAGTTTGTTGCTGCAGAAACTTTAAAGCTGCCTTTTGATTTTTTTTGTGTTACAGTTAGTTTTTAAAAAGAAATGTTGATCTGTAAATTAACTAATATTTGTTCAAATCATTCTATTCATTATGATTGTATTTTCAACATGAGCACATTTTTTAGCTGTGTTTCTTTGACTGAATATTGCAGGTGGTCCTTGACCTGGATGAGACTTTGGTATGTGCATATGAGTCGTCTAGCCTTCCTTCTTTTGTTCGTAATCAGGCAATTGAGGCTGGTCTGAGGTGTTTTGAGCTGGAATGTATGTCCGGAGAGAAGGTTCGTAGTTTCTTTTTTATTTTTTATTTTTAATCTACGGGTATTTACATATATATCACCAAAATTTCTTAAATAACATCTCTAACACAACTTTTAATTTATTTATATGACCCCCAACATTCTTGTAATACATCATATCTATCACCCCATCAACTCTGTTCCTTTCTTTCGGAGAGCTTTGTTAGTGAAATGGCTCTTAGAGGCAAAATGCCTTCTTTCTTTTCTCCCCTCTCCATTGCTGGTGACAAGGTCTGGCAGCTTACGGATTCAACTTCGTTTCCGCTGCTTCTAGCAAGAAGTTTGACTGGAGATCCGACAAAGCTTACGGATTCCACTTCTTTGTTGTTGTTACTTTTATGAGACAAAAAAAAAAGTTAACTTTTATAAGTTTGATGACTATTGGATTCATAGAAATACTGTATTAAATTTTGTTGGAGGTTATATTAGGGAATTTATTCTTGTGAAAAATTATGAGGAATAAATTATTTTTGTATTTGATTGTCGAAGGCGAATGAAACAAATGACATACCACTTGCGGTCAACATCTCCATTGTTGCTACAAATTCATGTTTGCTTTCTACCTCGATTATCTGTAGCTGCCCCGATCTGACATGGCAACTAACATGGCACCTTTGGACGTCTATGGGTGGGCTTTCACAGCTTAAAGTCCTTAACTTGTTGTTCCATCGTTTGTCAGGTGAGATTCCTGACGAGATCTGGATGTTGAAGAACCTCAAGGTGCTCAACCTCGAATCGACTCTCCTCTCTGGCTATCTGCCTTAGCAATTTCCTCGTGGTTTGTGTACTGAACCTGGGGTTCAACTAGATCATAGTTGAGCTTCCACCGTTTCTCTCGAATCTTTTTGATTTGGAAACCCTAGACCTCTCTGACAACCATCTCAACGACACTGTTCATTGATTTTTTGGAATTATGAATTCTTTGCGTGCTATTAATCTCAACTATCTCAATCTTGAACACTTGGATTTATCAAGAAATCTTCTTATTGGCAGCAATTCCCGTAGCCTTGGGAACTGTAGCAGGCTCCAATCTTTACTCTTGTTCTACAACCTTCTTGATGATATTATGCCTTTAGTTGGTCTGTTTACCAAGCTCCAGATTTTGGATGTTTCAAGGAACAACCTGAGCGGTCCTGTACCTTTTGAGCTAGGAAATTGTATTGCATTATCCGTAAGTGTGTCATCAAATCGTTACCCTTCTCCAGAGCCCCTTTCTGTAGCAGGCTCTCCTCTGAAATCTTTCCTATAACAGACCATTTTTCGAAGATTTCCTGCAGCAGGCCCTCCTTCGGAGTTTTCTTTCTGTATCAAGCCCTTCTTCAGAGCTTGTCCTGCAACAGGTCCTCTACTGGAATTCTTCCTGCATTAGGCCCTCCTCCGAAGCCTTTTATTGCATCAGACCCTCTTTCGGAATCGGAATTGTTTCTGCAGCAGACACTCCTCTAAAGCTTTTCGGCATTAGGCCCTTGATATGATTCAACCACAAAATTGGCACGCTTTTCCGGAAAAATTAGGGCAAACACAATATTTCTTTAATAAATCAAACAACTCCATAAGGAAACAAAGATAACTCTTAAAATTCGAGTGGTAGGCGGTTTCTCCCAATTTGTACAATTCGAGAGTTAGGAATTATATTGAAGCCATTATATTATAGTCATGATCTTAGCTTGCATCTTTCTCAATGACTCTCTACTCTTCAAATTGTGAACCATAATGATACATTTGAGTGGCACAAAATTTTTAATTAGCTAAGATAGACTTAAATTTGTCCTCGTAGGTAGACATTTGCCCTATATCTACAAAGGTCTGTTGGACGACAAAACTCAAGATTGCTGGCAAGGACCTTTTAGTTAGGTTAAGTTAACTACCTAATCTAACTAAATAGATCAAGGACCACGCCAACCCTACATGACGGAACCATAGGATTGTTGACCTCGCTTTCGGTCGAGGTGTAGTTTTCCCCTCCTTAGTAGCCTAGGATCTAGCCGTAGGATCTTTCTGCCGACTACTCCTAGAAAAATAGTGAAGGAGCCATTCCCGTTAGCAATTCTGGACTTCTCTTCGCTCGACTCGACGTTCCATGTAATAGTCTTGACTGTTACTGCCTAGCATGTAAGGCTACTTTGAAGGAACTCATGGAGCATTCCTTTAGGAATGACGGCCTTAGGATTGACTCTACTCGTTGATTTAGCGCCGCTGCGCTCTCCGCCTTCCTGTTTAATCAAATTCGAGCCGAAATTTTCGTAGGATTCGGACCGCGATGCGTTTTTAGCCCGATCGGCGATGAGGTTGCCCAGACGACTCCGGATGACGACTCCAGATGCGAAACGGTCTGCGCCGATGCGTCCGGAACGTCGATTTTGCTTAAGGGGGACGTTCGTTTTATTGCGACGGCGCGTCTTGGGGAAAGTACCTATTTAAGTGTTATATAATAATAAATAATATATTATTATTATTATTATAATTAATAGTTCACATTAAATCCCTAACCTAAATCTATCTCCCCCCTCACTTTCGCGTCTGTGGGCCTACCTTTGCCCTAACGTGGCTCGTTCGATTGTCTGGCCCGCTCCTTCGTGTCGTTGGGGGGTTTTGTTCCCGTGTTGCCCTAACGTGGCTCGTTCGATCGCCTGACCCGCTCCTTCGTGCCGTTGAGAGATTTCGTTCCCGCGTTCGCCTCTCACACACGCTCGCCTCTCGCAGTCGCCCATCCCGTATCCTATCCTCTGCGAGTATCTTATCTCGTCTGCTCTCGATCCTCCCTGCCGCAGAGCGTAATCTCTGCGAGGATCATATCCTCTGTCTCTCTTGATCATTCGAAGATCCGCATGCGATCCTCTAATCATTCGCTCTCCTTCTCTCGGGTCTATATGAAACTCTGTTTTGGAGCGTGAAAAGGGGCCGAAAATCTTTCTACTGGAGAAAACTCTGCTATTTTTCTTTCTCACTCACTTCTTTGATCTTCTGGTGCTTGAATCGGTTTCCTCTTGTTGTTGGGAGAGGAAGTGAAGTTGTGGAGTGCTTTTACAGTTTTTGTGTTACTTTCATTTTGCTTCAAATATGTATCTTCTTCCCTCTCCCCCTATGCATTGTCTGTGTTCGACCCTGCTCTTTACCGAGCCCCTGTGCTTTATGTGTGCTCGTCCCTGTTCTCTGTCGAGCCCTGTTAGCATGCTAGAGTAGGGAGATTACTATTTGTCTCATTCCTAAACATGTTCTAACTTACTCTTTATATATTTGTTATGTGGGAATGACATTTAAAAGCTTGGGGGTATGTATTTCCTTCTCCTTCCCTTTCTCTGTGCTTTACTGGCTCTCGGTGTTAACCTTGCCGAGCCCCTGATGATGATCTTAGGGTATGGTTTAGCACTCCAGTTGCCACTATGCTTGTATTTGGAAATGTTTATTACTTAGAGCATGTGATAAAATAAAAATATGCATATATGCTAGAAGTTAGATTTGGCATGCTATTAATAGCATGTTTCCTATCTCCCAAGGCATACTTATGTTGGAAGTAATTAAGAGGGTAGCATTTTTCCTATCTCCCAAAGCTTACTTATGTTGGAAGTAATTAAGAGGGTGGTTTTGAAATAATTGGCCCTTCTCATGAGCCTGTTAGTATGTGTATTGCGAAGCTTTCATACACTTTCACTCAAAGCATGTGGTAGTTCTATTTTGAGATGTCTTAAAAGCATAAGAATATTGTTCTAACTTTTATTGTGGCTTAGTGTTGGGGGTCTCAATTGCAGCTTGGTTTTCGACCCTTGTTGGGTTCGGGTTTTAGTCTTGCTTGGCTCTGTTTGGTCTTTAACTAATCTGTACCTTGATGAAAAACTTGGGTTGGCTCGGTTTTACCTTAAGATGGTTGAGATTTTAATTTCTGTTAAGGCTCAGGTTTTAATCTATGCTTGGGCTCTGTTTTGGCTTTGAATGGCTCGATTTTAGCTTTCCTTGGAGCTTGGTTTTGCTTGTTTGGCCTCGTTTTGGCCTTGAATGGTTCAGTTTCTGTCTGGTTCTGCTCCTACCCGAGAGGTAGCTTGGGAGCTTGATTTGGTTTGTTCTTAGTCCTACCCGTGAGCTTGCTGGCAATCCCTTGGGGTTGTTTGACTCCTACTCGAAGTGGCTTGGGTGTTGATTGATGAGTCAAGTTTAAATGTACGTCTTTGCCTTATCTATAAAGTGAGGTGATTGAAGGATGTGTTGAACAATTTCCTTGTGGCCTACTTGGTGAAATTGGAGTCGGTTTGGAGGCTTTGTGAGGGTTTGTCCATTCACTCTCCTATGTATATTAAATATATTCATATAATCGATTCGGGTTTGCCTTGGCCGTGAGCCCCTTTTGGCCTCAGGTTTGCCTTGACCGTGAGCCCCTTTTGGCCTTGGGTCGCCTTAGCCGTGAGCCTCTTCTCCTTTTGGCCTTGGGTTTGCCTTGGCCGTGAGTCACCTGTGGTAGTTTATTCGGGTCTGGAGCTAGAGGGTGCTGATATGGGCTTTTACCCATGAATTTTCTTGGCGTTACCTCACTTAAGCCGTAGATCTTACACCTCAGTGCGTTGGAAAAATTTTGTGTTTGTTTGAGGTGTGAGGCTATGGATTAATTTGGAAGTTGGAAGATTTTGATATCAACTTGGGGTTTGGGAGGATTTGCAAGCCTTATTTGGGAGAGCATTTGGTTAATTTGATTAATCCTACGTCTTTGGGGTTTAAAAAATCAGCGCAAAGTAGCCTTTTATGTTTGTTAGGAAAGACCTTGGGCCCTACTTTTACAGGTCTTTTTGATAGGAGTTTTGAGAACTGATCAATTCTCTTTTTCGGTGTTTTAGATGGATCAGTGTCTCCTCTCTCTCACCCCATTTTTTGTTCTTTTCTTTCCTTGCTTCTTGGTTCGGTTTTTGACGCTTATGTCCGACACATAAGTGTCCACGTATAGTCTTTTGTTATACGTGAAACCATCAAGCAAGGTCGCAAGTAGTTTGTTTTGGGGCGTAGGGTGGTGATGATAAAGGCACACCGAAGATAGAGCGGAAAGATGCCCTATCTTATAACATCAAGATCCAGGTATTTGATGAACAATAGGATAACGATATCCTTCACCGACATTAGTCTAGTGAGAGTTGGCTCGAACCTCCTCAGATAGTTGGCAGTCTCACGCCCTACAGCGTAATTGACTTGTGGATAATAAAAATTGTTAAAACTTATTTCAAAAAGAATAAAAATATATTTTTTGCTATAAAATAAAATTTGATAATATCTTTTTTGAGATCTATGTGCATGTCAAAAACATAAATTTTAAATGTACATTTTAAAATTGATTGTCCAGCTAACGAATACCTGTTTAGGCTGGGAAGTAGCCCTCTAGGTGAGGTTCAAGACACACTTCTAGACGAGTGACGGGTTCTATACATTCGGGTGACCGAGTAGCCTTCGTGGACCCTCGAGTACATATACATATATCTGAGCCTAGCCCTACACAAGTGCTTGCTGTCCCTCTTTGCCTGAACTTTTTGTTTTATCGAAGCTTTGGACATCGCACCTCGTGTTTCTTTTTTTTTTTTTGAGATTTTTCCGAAATTTTGAGGATTTTTACTTGAGTCTTTTCTCTTTGATTTTCTCGAGCTTTCGGTCATGAGTCGTTGTTACACTCTTCTTCAGATTTTCTGAATGTCGTTTCTTCCAGACTTCGCTTTTTGCAATGCATTTCAGTTTGCTATATTTAAGAAGTAGCGGATCTCACAGGCGTACAAGTTTGCTTTACGTTTACAGCATTTCATTTTCCTGTTTATACTTGCTACTGTTCTGTACAACATGTTATATTACTCTTGTTTATACCTGCTATTGTTCTGTAAAACATGTTATCCTATTCCTTTTACTGTACCTGTTACCGCTCTATATAGCATGTTATACTGTTATTTCTACTATACCTGCTACTGCCATGTATGGCGTGTATACTGTTTCTTTTATTGTGCTTTCTATTGCTTGTCGCCATGTATGGCGTGCATACTGTTTCTTTTATTGTGCTTTCTATTGCTTGTCTTATACTGCACATTTTATATTATATAGCCTTAAGCATGCATTTTTTTCATATAGGATGTTTAGAGGACTAGTAACATAGGGTCGTTTTAATTGGACACCTTAGAAAACTTAAACTCGTCATGACAAGGAGCTTGGAACTAGCGCGATGGGCAACATGATCATCTTCAACAGCAGAACATGTCTTCCCCAACTAAACCATTCATTTCCTAGAAATTAAAATAACAATCCATAGGACTTGAGGTTATTCGCTTAGCGCAACATAAATCCTCAACCTTTTCGTTAGATATTTGTATGGCTCCACTGTATGATCTAAATCCTAACTCGTTTTAGGATTCTGAGGTTGTCGTTCGTTACGACCTAAATCCTCGCATCTTTCAGGTTATTTGTGTGATTGTTTCACACGAATGTAAGCCCTAATTAAATAAAATTGGCAGGATAACACACTTTAATATTTTTCCTCGAAACTGAAACCAAACCATAGGGTAGATTGGAAAGCTACCGAGGATCTCCTCTGGATCTGTGGTATCCCCTAGTTCTTCTTCCTTCGGATTCTGTAATAAATGTTCCAAGTTTGAACCATTCCCTTTTACACATCTCTTTGTCCGATTTCGTTGAAAAACCCTATCATTTTGAAGTCCTTGAAGATAATTTTTCCTGATTTTTATCGAGAGTATTCTTAAGTGATTTCGGTCATTTAAGATGTAATTAACTATAGGGGCTTGCCCTTATAGGAAGTTTTTCCGGATCCAGCTTGAAATAAACCTTATTTAATTTTTCATATTAAATAGGGGAATTTGTCGGCAAATAAAATGGTTTCGCAGGACAAACAGACGTCATATATATCTTAGTTTATTTGATCGAGTCTCATCCTCAAGTCTTGTGTTTATCCCTCGGGATAGATACAGGGTTTGAGGTAAAACGCTCTTTCATTTAAGTTATGAAAAATATGGGGTCAGTTTGATTTTCATATTTGATTTTAAACTTAAATCTATATGTAAATTTGAACGTCCTTCCGAGGCGGGCGACATGATTTCGATTCCGGTGACCGACAGCTTCTTACGGGCGACTCCTTCCCCATCCCACTTTTCCCCGCCGACAAGGATCTTGGTCGGTTTCTTATCATTTTCCCACCATCCATTTTAAGCTCAAGGTGCTAAATTTTGTAATCTAAATTCTAAGTCTGCTTCTATTATATGTTGAATACTCACTGATTAATGACTAGCTTTAATCAAAAGTGCTCTACTGTTATTGGAAGGCATAAGCCTATGGGAAACCTTGAACCCCATATCAAAAGGTACTCACAGAAAGAGAGCGAAATCTATGGGTAATGTCTTATCTACAATCTAATATGTCTTATGAAAATTCAACCCGACAAAGCTCTTGAAAATAATGGGAGTTTGGGCGTTGAATTTTCGGAACCCCGAATGTGGCGTATTAAAAGGTACTGTGGTATATGTAGATTAAAAGTATTGGGTGTTAGATATGTTATTTAAGAAGTTTTGACTGCATGTATGTAAATCCCCTCTCAATCTATTTCTATTGTATTGGCTGCTTGGATGTGTATGATGGAGCTTTGAAGAATCATTGTTTAAGGGCTTTGAAGGAGAACCAAAGGTTAATCATGTAACGGTGTTTGAGCGACCTGGTTTACAAGAGTTTCTGCAGCAAATTAGTGAATTTGCTGATCTAGTTCTTTTCACAGCTGGTCTTGAAGGTCAGTTATGTCTTAATTAATGATGACCTTTGTTCTTTCTTTTGGGTTCTCTTATAACTTTCTTCATTCCATATTACTGTTGTTATTATGAATACATGCTGTTTCAGGTTATGCCAGACCACTTGTTGATAAAATAGATGTTGATAACAGATTCTCTCATCGTCTTTATCGCCCTGCAACTGTCAGCACGTAAGTCATGTCCATGTTTTCTTCTTCTTGACCACCTGGTTGACTACTATTGTTGGTAGTACTGATCCAATTATGTTGTGTTTCTGTGGGATAGTTTATTTCTTTTTTTATGATATCTGATCGAATATGGATGCATGGACTGGCTATTATGGCATTATTGAATAAGAAAAGGGAGGAGACTCCTTTCTTAATGATACTTTTTGAACTTTTGAACCAAACATCTAAGGCACTTCGGTTTGATAAACATGGCTACTGCTTGTGCTGTTTGCAGGTCATAGATGTATAGATCTTATGTTATTGTCTATCATTACATTGATAAAAGTAGATAAACACAGTTAGTAAGGGCTCCAAGTGTCTGAGTTGCATTGAAAATTATCCGTGCTAGAGCATAAAAACATGTCTAATTCATGGACACATCCTCTTAAAAAAATGAAAGCTTGCTCATATGAACCGCATTCCTTGAGGAAAGCTTTAAGCATCCTCTAATTCGTGGACATAATGCACTTCTTCAGGCATGCATTGAAGAAACATTTATCCCCTAGTTACTTAGATTATCTACTTCAAAGAAGAAATAGTTCTTCATCCAAGTTCTTCCTTGGCATTGATCCATCTCCATTGTGAAATTACACTTTAAAGGATGCCAGTTGTGGTAGCCATTTTTCTTAGACCTTAATTACTTGACCAAAGTGTTTTACTTGAGCATGAATTCTGGGTAATTTTTCTATGTAATCCAAGGCCAAATTTTGTTGCCGTCAAATTCATGACCTAGAATTTTGAACTGAATACATGTACAAAAAAACACCTATTTAGCAGTTTTATTTTGTGCTAAAATTTTATGCTTCACTATCATTATTGTCAGTCTACTTTAATTTTTAGGCAATGACCCGGTGATGCCAATTATTTGTGGCTATTCCATGTGCTTTTGAACTTGTGAGGATTATATAGTACAAGTATTTATGATCTTAATTTCTCAGGTGAAGACATGCTTAAAATATAATCTAGATTCGTTAAGTACTTCTAAATTCAATTTAGAGCAATAATTTATGTGATGGTATGAAGATGTGCGCTATTCAGATCTTTAAACTTATACATGACTTCTACCTTCTAAATCTTTGATAAACCTTGTAAACTAACTATTTAGAGCAATATCTTGTTTAAGTGCTTCTAAACTATCGTATGAGAAACCTTATAAACTAAATATTCTTTGTTGTTCATGCTCTGGTGGAAGATATCTACTATGAAGAATGATTTGTTAATTTTCTTTCATGCTCAAAATTTAGTGTGGAATGCATTTATTATGCTAATTGAAATTTAACTTCAAATCACGAATAAAATCATGCACTTTTTTGACACAATAATAATTGTTTTTGCAAATAGAAAAACTAGATTTTGGCCAGTAGAATTTGCTTTTTTAAATATTTTTATCCAAAGTAGTCTTGCGCATAATCAGGTCAAAAGCATGACATGAACATGCTTACTTGAGGACTTCTAATCCCATGGTTAGTTTGATTAATGGATGACCAATTTATTCCAATCTATAGTAGGATTTAGCATCCTTATTTATGATTACCTTTTAATATTTATAATATGATTGCTTACATGGTTAAACACTTTAATGAAAAAAAGGAACCTAAGATAGAACAATTGTCTCAAAGACAGCATGAAAACTTGGATCAAATAAGTTGACGAAGGCCATGCTCTGGGATGTAGATGTAAGTCAGGCTCAAAAATGCTGACAAATGTCAAGCTTGGAGATTATGAAAAATGCATATATTTTACTAGCATGAATAAAGGAAAAATATCATTCATTAAATAGATGAAATCCAAGTCAAATGCATTTTATTCCTTGCATTTCAATTCCACGTTCATATTCCTAGAAAAATTGAATTTAAAATGTTGGTTTCCTATAGATGGCTCAATTTGTTTCAAATTTAAGTCCTTATCTAGTGAATTATAGTATACTAAATGCACTATAAATCTAGCATTCCCACAAATCTTAGAAGAATGAATATGATGTATAGGAAATTTGGCTAGGTCTTAGAATAATAATGCGAGAGATAGAGGTAGTCAATTGATGTACAAATAAAAGGGGCGAAAGAGTAACGAAAATCCAGATGTAAAGAGAAGTAGTTGACAAAATAACATCTAAAGAAAGAGAGGGAGAGAAGGGGGAGAGAGGAAATTTGCTTTGGTTCTTCTGTTTGTAGCCATGAAAAAATTGTCTTAGTGTAGTGTAAGCATGGTAGCGTTGATGCAAGTGCGGTGATGCTGCAAACAAGTGCATTAATACAAGAAGCAAGTTCAATAGTGCTAGAAAAATCCTAATGATGGATAAATATTGTTCTTTAATTTGTTCTCTCTTTTTTTTTAATGTTGTTCGACTTTCTGCTTTTTTGCCCCAATATTTAAACAACTAAGAGAAGGTATCGTCTCCTTCTTAAAAATGGCGAAATATTTCTTTGCAGTCGTGAACTTATGACAATAATTTTGTTGAATCATATATATTTTTTACATTTTTATTTTAGTTTCTTATTTGTTCTTTTTGCGTCCCTTCTTTTTCTATTTTGAACAATGATTTTCAACTGGTATGTGTTTTAAGGTTTTGAGAAAAAGTTTGAGAATATCAATATGTTTGATGGATGATATTGATACTAAATGATTTAGATTGAGGACTAAATATACTATAAGAAAAGTCATCTTTTTTTCTTGAAGACATAGCCAACATACATGAACCAAGAAGATTAGGATCTCTTGAATAAAAATATGGGGCATTTACATGTATAGCACACAATTCTTATGCATTTACATATCTCTCACCTAAAATTTCATATTTACCCGCATAGCACTCAAATATTTTATATCACATCAAAAATAACACTATTACCACATTTTAAAAGTGGAATACACATTTTCATGCATAGGTTAAAGCACTAAAATGCTAATTATATAAATATGAAAGTTTAGGCACGAGATATGTAAACACATAAGAATTGTGTGCCATGTATGTATATTTCTCTAAAATCATTACCTTCAAAACACAACACGAGACGACCTTAACGAAAAAGATGAAAGACCTATAAAATGCGTGCTAATGCTATAAATTATAAACGTGGATTTCTGATAAGAATTTTTAAATATCAGCATGATAAAAATTGCTTGTATGGCCAAGTAAGTCAATAAATTCAATTTGATCAACAATCAATTGAGTTTAGTTGATATGAACTTTAAGATGAATTTCTTGTCTTACCTTATTGGCGTTACTTTTGGAGAGCTAGAGTATGTTGTGAAGTTGAAGCTCAATGATGGCCGAGTTCTATTTCTATATCAGGACATGGACAGAGGCTCAGATGAAGGATCTTCTTATGCTTAAAATATTGGAGGTCGAAGTAGGAATAATCCAGGTAGGTCCAAAATTGAAGATGTAGATAAACAATTTGTGGAAGAGATTGTACAGAAGTCATATGCTTACAGTGTTGAAAGATAGAGCACATGAAAAGGTATTGGCCACAATAGAAATGTCAACAAAATATTTACCACAATGAAGATTCAATTATTTCCATCATAGAAAAAATTCAGTGCATTGAACCTCGATGTTGATTTTTGTATAGAATATTGTATACTGAACTCAAGTCCATCTTTTCACTTTACATAGCATAAATGGCATATGTTTAATCATTTTGTCAGAAACAATTGGAAGTATATCTTGTTGATGATGGGACCTAAAGTATTGTGGCTTTTGGTGATGTTTTAAATTAGAATTGGAAATAATTACGTAGAAGTTTCACAAGATTAGACATTATAAGACTTAAGGAGAATTTAATATCTACAAAACAGCATGATGAAGGAAGATAGCATTTAACTTTCAATATTGGTAGTTAAAAGACAACCAAATATGCTGTGAGCATGCTATGCGGTAATAAAAATGATAATGAGATTTTAAGCTTTGAAGTAGTTGGTTAACAGTATACTCAAATATTAATTTATCCATATAGTATTAAAGTTAGCACACGAGTGAGAAATGAACAAATATTTAACAATTAATAGACATCTATTTAAATATCATTATTTTGGATTTACCTAAGTATAGAAAAATCAAGATTTTAAAGGTTGGAAAGGAACTCAATTCTCAAAATTTGGACTTCCATTCACTATTGTCTAGTAGCCATCTCTAATGACATTTCTTTATGGCTCATGATACAAAACATTTTCTTCGATGACTCCATCATATGGTTTTATGCTCATTTTCTATAAACTTTATATGATGTACTAGCCTTTTTTGAATATTTAGTATTTTGTGGAGAATGAGTTTGTTAAATTAGCGTAAAAGATCAGATAATTAAGAGAGGATGACATCAAGGGCTCAAGGGAATTTTGTACAACTAATGGAATCTATATAGAAAGGGTAATTCAAGACACTTCAAAGCATAATGGGATTATTGAGTGCATTAATAAAGCTTTAAATGTAAGGGTTAATATGCATGAGGTTATGTATAGGATTGCTTACGAAATTTTAGGCAAATGTCCTTAGTTTTTTTGCTTATTTGATCAACGAAGGATTCTATTCTGTATGCTATGAGTCATCTAAATAATTCTTGATTGGTTAGGAGATGAGCAGAACTTTTTCAATTGAAGTTTTAGTTGTACTTCTTCTGTTTATGTGTATTCCATTTGTGGAGATCATAGCATTGACAAGTACCATTATATATAATAGTATCATTAAAATAATATTACTACTAATGCTCTTTCAACTTTGATCAATTCAAAATCTATTGCCAAGATGATCAGATCCATCGCTAATTGATGGTGTTTTCTAAATTAAAGGAGTTTGACATGAAGGGCTTGGAAGAGTGGAAGAATGCTTGGGATGAGAACTGCTAGTGATTGATTGATTTATTTATTGAAGTTACGTGAGGTTGAGCAAATTAAGAAGGAATTAGTCAGATTTAATTTGCTGAAGATTAAAATTTTTAGCACTCCCTTCTTATCCATTTTAAATCTCA